TCTAATAATCTTCATATAAAAATCGAATATTATCCAAAATTATGAGTTTCTTAGAGTCATAAAACAAACGAGGCAAGATAAAATTGTCTCAAGAAATCTCTCTAATGCAGTCATCATGTGAGTGAACCATTTCAATAGCAGCAAGAGGTAGAACAATAATGTTGAAATAAGGAAATTAAGCAACATTATTAGTGCGAAGAGAAACAACTGCAACAGGAACCAATATCTCTTGAGCTACAGTTGGTGGTTCGATAAGAGCTTCAAATATTTCATCTTCTAACATAGGGAAAATATTAATTCCATTCTTAAGCTCAGACTTTAAATCTTGCAAATGGTCCCATGCTTTCTTAACTTTTGAGTATAAGTGTATTTCCTACTCAATATTAAATCTCTATGCTTGAGAGAAATCATTGGATTTTTGAAGATAGACCCTTGCCAATTGGAATCCTGTGGGAGAAGAGAGTGTTCTTGGGCTCCTGGCAAGCAAAGGCACATAGAAAATTTCCAGAAAATAGATAAAATTTCCAGATATCTCTATTTTCATACTTCACAGGAATTAGGAGGCGATAATCTCTTCATCTTTGGGGTTCAGGCTGCTACTAACTAGTGTAGGGGTAAAAGTTGAGCTCTGATACTAACTAATGTAGAAGGATTGACAATTAAACTAACTTGTTCTGTGAATAGTTTAGGAATGGAGGAAATTTAGGTAAGAAACAGAAGGATATAAGTATGCTAGAGGAAATTAGAGACTAGGGTAAAGAAATATAAAAAGAAATAGACTAGATGAGATAGGTTAAATGGAACAATAATCAAAAGAACAAAAATAGATAGAAGTACATGGAAGAGATTCCTAATCGTCTACTCTATTTGTTGGTGGCTACTGGCTTTGATATAGGCATTAGTTACCATTTAATATGAAAAATTAATAAAAGAGGAAATCGTTAAAAATTTCTAGTGCCTATAATACTTAATTTAACGAGATAGAAGATAAAATATTTTACTATCTAAATAGACTTAAATAATTTAAATAACTTTAAAATATAAAGCATAATTATTACAAAACTTCTTTAATTAAAAATTTGTTGCAAAATAATATCTAGTTGTTCTGCATCACTAAATTTTTTATATTTAAATTAATTATACTCTTACTTTAAATTTCTTAACTAGGTTTCTATTCCTGCTTGTCAAAATAAAAATTAAAAATCCATCTCTAAGAAATTTAAATAAGAATGAAATTGGCTCAAACATGAAAATTATAATATGGTTATAGACAAGAAATGATAACAAGCCTTAATTCACTCATATACTTTGTCAAATTGATCAATTAGGCCCTTAAATTTTTTTTTTTCAATTTAATCCAAAACTTTGGTATTTTGTCCAAAACTTATTTCATGAGAGAAAATTATGGTATCATTAACCATCTAGTTCCATATGCATGGCCGGAGATATGGCCACATTTTTGCTCATATGGAGCAAATTCGGGAAAAAGAATGACACGGCTTCCACGTGTCATACAAGTGGAAGCTCACGTGGGAGCCACATGAATGCCACATTCTGATGATGTAGCACTGATAAGATTAATTAATATTAAACTGATCTTGATGTAGGGGAGGGACTTGGAAGGATTGAAATACTCTTGTAATCTCACACCACGTATAACACGGGAGGGTATGGAGATGATTGTTTTGACTCTCAGAACCTCAACCAATGCATGCAATCAGAAGACTTGACCACCTGATTCTCCCTCCCTACTTGAATCTAGACTCACCTATATGGCATATAAAAACAAGATAATAGGAAAAAATAGAAGAAGAAGGATAGCGTGGGTTACACGATAAATCGATTCGAACTTCTTGGCTTAACAAGACTTATGAAAGCTCTTTAACTTTGAAAAATTTGAACAACATTAAAGAAATTAGCCACAACTATTTCTAAAGGAAGCAAGACCTTAATTTTATTAATCCCAAAAGTTATGATTACAAGCTATGGAGTTAAGCATTTATATAGGTTTTTATTGACTAATTCTAATCGAAATAGGATTACAAATTCCTATTCAAACTCTTACACTATAAGTAAGTAGAGAACAAATATGAAAATATTAAAATAATTAAATTTATCCTAACTTAATTAAAATAATCTAAAATAATTAATAAAATATTCTTTTCTCCTTATCCAATCTTCAAGTAGCTTGATTTTTATTGGACTTCCAATTTGAGTCGAAATCCTCCTTCAATTTAGCACTTTAAACACATGGGATAATTTGTATCTCTTAGAATCCTTAGAGAACTTGGAAAAGTAAGATAAGGAGTCCAAAAGGACTTAGGAACAAGCTGCCGCATAGGTAGCTTGCTGTGCATGTAGGGGTTGCGTGTGGTTGCCGCACAGGTCAGTCTCGCACGTGCGCTGGGATCTGGACGTGTGCCTAAGCTATCATGCGCATGCACCTGGGCCGCACATGCGTTCGCACGCACTTGCTGGCGCTGCTGTTCGCACGCCCCGCATGCTGCTTCACACAGGAAACGGTATGGCGTATGCGGATGATTCTCCCTCCACATGTGGTGGTCCGCACATATACCAAAGGAAGGTCACGTGCGCAGCACGTACTGTCCACAGATCTTCTGGGCTGGATAGCTTCTTTTGGGTCTTCTCTTGGGCTTCAATGTTGGTCTCGTTATTCACCCGCTTTTGGACCAAAAGATTGAAAAATATTCTAGAACCTCTTGGCCCGACTTCTTATAATCGGACCTAGGGGCAATTGGATTTGGTTTCCTATCATCTCCCTTCTTTAAAAAGATTCATTCTCGAATCTTCACCTATATCAAAAAAAGAAAGATCAGATACATTAAAAGTAGCAGACACTCCATACTCACCTGGTAGGTCGATCTTGTATGCATTGTTATTGATACGCTCCAAAACTTGAAACAATCCGTCTCCCCTAAGATCCAGTTTAGATTTATGTTGTTTAGAAAATCTCTCCTTTCTCATATGAACCCAAACCCAATCTTCTGGTTGAAACACAACCCGTTTTCTGCCTTTATTAGCATGTCAGACATAAGATTCATTTTGTTTCTGATTATATTGTCGTGCTTTCTCATATATTGTTTTAATAAGTTCACTTGGTTCGGGTCTGCACGTTAGTTGTTATGACACAATAAAGAACCTTAAACGATTCTGATTTATACTAAAACTTAGAAACGAACATACAGAAGAAGGAATAGTATGCTTCTTGTGTGTTAAGCAACTAGTATTGATTTGTCACTTAATGTTTTTATAATGAAATAATAATATAATTTTTTTTTTGAAATAAAAGATAAATAATTAAACAATAATATAATAAAAGATAGAAACTAGATTACGAAAATGACAATCGGACTGATGCCTAGGGGATCCGATCAATCTCGATGGATGTAATCAAAAGTGTATATATTTATATTGCCCACAATTTGTCATCTACGCTCTACGACGATCAAGTTTTTT